CCTGAAGAGGAGGTGGACAGACTTCACCAGCCAGCAGAAAGAAAGCCGAAGGGGTGTCCAGACAAGGCCCCAGCATCTCTTCAGTGCTTCGGGTGCAGAGGATGCCACAAGCAAGCTGACTGCAGATTCCGCTCCGCCATTTGCCGGGCATGTGGCAGGCAAGGCCACATTGCCTCCATCTGTTTGGGTCGCCAGAAGGTCCAACCTTGGGAAGAATTGCTTCAGAAAGGTACCAGGGTCCTCAGCCAACATAGGGTGGGTTTCTATGCATCGCGCAGGAGTATTCTGAGGACAGGGACACACAAGCCCCTGAAGAAAAAACTTAGCATTGACGTGAAGTTGCAAGGGGTTCCCTTATTGATGGAGTTGGACACAGGGTCCGCTCTATCAATCATTTCACTTGACACCTTCAAAAGGATTTGCAGCAGTAGTAGCCTTCGAGTTAAACTCAGGCCATCAAATTTAATACTCACTGACTTTCAGAATTCCAAAGTCAGTATGAAGGGGGAGGCCATGCTCAAAGTGCAGTGTAAGGATTTTGAGGGTTTCCTGGATGTGGTGGTAGTTGGGGGTGAATGCACGAGTCTTATTGGACTCGATTGGTTCGAGGCTCTTGGAATCCAAGTGACTGGGCTTCACAACTTGTAAATGTTGGGCCTTGCAGAAGTCTGCAAGGAGTTTGCTGATATGTTTAGTTAGAGCTAGGATCCTATAAGGGGCCCCCCATTGCATTACGTTTAGATCCAACAATCATGCCCATCAGGGTCAAGCCTAGAAGGGTGCCTTCTGCTCTCAAAAGCAGAGCTGGACAAATTGCTCCAGCAAGGCATCTTGGAACCTGTGGACTCTAGTCCATAGGAAACCCCCATAGTAACGCCTTTAAAGGCTAATGGAGAAGTCCGCATATGCGCAGACTATAAGTGCACATTGAATAAAGCGTTGCAACAGCACACATATCGAGTGCCTGTTGTAAGCTACATTCTGGCCTCCCTCAAGGGGGGGCATTTTTTTTTGCAAAACTTGATTTGGCTCAGGCCTATCAACAGCTACCTTTTGATGAGGCAACTGCAGAGGCCCAGACGATTGTAACACACAGGGGGGTCTTTAAGGTTAAGAGACTGCAAATTGGAATTAATGTAGCCCCTGGAATATTCCAAAGTGTCATGGAATGCACACTTCGGGGTATTCCTGGGGTCTGTCCCTACTTCGACAATGTCCTCATTGCTGGGGAGTTATCTCACAATTTAGCAGAAAGGTTAAGTGCTGTCTTGCTTCGTTTCCGCAAAGCAGGCCTTAAATTGAAGCAAGACAAATGCAAAATAGGAGTTACTTCCACTGACTTCTTAGGCTTCAGGATTGATGCCCAAGGCACCCAACCTGCTGAATCGAAGCTTCAAGCAATTCAGCAGGCCCCAAGTCCCAAGTCCAAGAGTGAGCTGCAAGCTTTCTTGGGGCTCTTAAATTTCTATCACACATTCCTCCCACACAAGGCTGCAGTGGCAGTGCCGTTACACTGGCTCTTAGACAAGCAGGCTCCATGGCAGTGGACGAGAGTCCATGAAAGGAGTTTCAATGAGATTAAGGCCTTGCTCTCTTCAAATGCTGTATTAGCGCATTTCAATGAGCAACTGCCTTATGCATCGCATGCGATGCATCTCCTTATGGGGTGGGAGCAGTACTTAGCCACCTGAAGGCTGATGGGACACAAGTCCCTGTAGCATATTATTCAAGGACTCTGTCATCTGCAGAGCGGAATTACACTCAGATGAACAGAGAAGCCATGGCCATAGTGGCTGGCATAAAGAAATTCCATGATTTCTTATATGGCCACCATTTCACAGTCTATACAATCCATAAGCCTCTGCTGGGTTTGTTTACAACTAACAAACAGACGCCACATGTTATTTCTCCACATATGCTGAGATGATCAATTTTCCTGTCAGCATATGATTATATACTCATTCACAAACCTGGAAAAGAGATGGGCCACGCAGACGGCCTCAGCAGATTACCTCTCAAACAAATAAGGCAGATCCTGCTCCTGCTATTAACATTCTTTCAATTCAGGAGTTGCCTGAATCTCTCCTCAATGCGAGGGATGTGGCTGCAGAAACTGCCACTGATCACACACTCACACACATGGGTGTTGTCAGGATGGCCTCACACGTGTCCAGATACAGAGTTTCAAAGTTTCTGGCAAAAGCATGAACTTTCCACTTTCAAAGGGTGCCTGTTATGGGGTAGTAGGATAGTCATCCCAGCCTCATTGAGGTCTAGAATCTTGCTCTCTCTTCATGAGGGACATCCAGGTATAGTAAGGATGAAAGCGCTTGCACGCAGCCATCTCTGGTGGCCTGGACTTGATAAAGCCATCGAGGCACAGGTGCATAGGTGCCAAGTGTGCCAGCAGTCAAGGCCTGAAATGCCTCAGGTCCCAGAATATAGGTGGGAGGAAACTCAAACCCCATGGTCACGGGTACATATAGATTACTCTGGGCCCTTTCAGGGGCAATTCTTCCTTCTCCTCGTTGACAGCCATTCCAAGTGACTAGAGGTTGCTCCTGTTTCCTCCACTACTACTGCCAGGACCATCCAGGTGTTGAGAGGACTGTTCGCCTCACATGGACTTCCAGATGTCCTGGTTTCGGATAATGGGCCCCAATTTACCTCTTTTGAATTCCAGGCTTTTCTTCAGGCCAACATGATCTGGCATGCAACTTCAGCTCCCTTCCACCCATCTTCTAACGGTCAAACAGAGAGGATGGTGCGCACTACCAAAGATGCTCTCAAGAAACTGACGGTAACTGGCATAACAGGTTAGCAGATTTCCTTCTTGCACACCGCACCACACCTTGCACAGCCACAGGGAAGAGCCCAGCAGAACTCCACTGGGGTCGCCGCCTCACCAAACTGGACAGGTTGCACCCAGACCGGGCGGCTTCACAGGTGTCACAACCACGGGCATCTAGGAGACTTCAGGTGGGCGATCCGGTCTGGGCAAGGAACTATAGGCCTGGACATCTCTGAGTCACAGCAAGGTATGCAAGGTCTCTGGGCCACTGTCATATGAAGTAGCCTTGGATGATGGATGAGTTATTCGCAGACACATAGATCAACTGCGCTGGAGGCTTAACAGCCACGTTTCCGCTCCTGGCTCTGCTCTGGAGGGGAGGAGGACCATAATATGCATTCTGGGCCACAGGTTCCCTGGCCTAACAATGTCCCACAAGCTGCTGAGAAGGCTACTGAGGCTGTTTGGGGGTCATCCCAAGGTTCAACAAGTGCACCAAACAGGAATTCCCCAGAAAGGGGGTCACCCTGCACATCAGTTATTGCTCCAGACAGGGAGTTGCACCGGGGGTATCCACATAATCCAAATACTTCAGATAGTGCTCCAGACAGGGAGTCATACCGGTGGATACCCCCATCAGGGGCACTCTCACAGTTCAGCTATTGCTCCAAAAAGGAAGTCTGTAGCAAAGGGGGTTGCCATGGAGGCAGCCCCTGACTCTGGCATCTCTGGCACATTCACGGGGCTAAGGAGTACTGGGGCACTTCCGCAGGCCACTCCAACTGCTCGCCTTGGGCTTGAGGGACAGTGTTCCCAAGAGGAGTCCATTGTGGACTTGGGGACTTCTACCCCCCCCCCCAAGGTACACTGGCTTGGACTCAGAGGGTCCAGCCAGTCAGCAGCTGGGTGGGTCACTGGGTATTTGGGGCATCAAATTCCTGGCCTGCCTAGCCTGGCAGGCGAACAGGTAGGCCAGGCACACTCACCGGCCATTAGAAGGTCACAGCGGGCCAAATGCCCACCCAAACATCTGGGAGATTATGTGAGGTTTCTGTCAATATGAAGGGAACCTTGCTAGTCTGTAGCAGGATGTTGGATAACACTCAGCACAGAGTGTCATATACTATTATGATCTTGGGCATTTTGTTTAGTTAAATAATCCTTTGTCAAAGTATTTTCCCTGTGTGCAGGCCAGTGTAACTTCATTCTCCCTGTCCTTTTGAACAATGTACCTGTGTGTCCATCTAAGGTGTGTTTTATCTAGGGGGGAGGGGTGTTGTATCCTGAGCCTGCTGGAGTAGTGAGCAGGCTCAGAAGGTCCTGGGCAAACCAAAAGCTGCCTGGGACCAGACTGGTTGGCGCCAGCCTTGTGCGCTTGCGCAAGGTGCGAAAACAGCCGGTTCCTATTGGTTAACACTGTCTGGATTCAGGGCCTGCGTGCCTTTTATTGCTTGCTTGGTTGTAGGAGAAGAGTAATAAAGAGCTTGTTTGTTCATCATGTGTCTTCGTCAATTGCCAATGAATGGAATACACAAAACTGGGAGTGATTGGAGGACAAAGAAGGGCCGCCCTAGTACAGTACCTGCTGGCTGGACACTCTAAAGCAGAGGCCCCCAACCTTTTAGACACCAGGGACCAGTTCCGTGGAGAGAGGTTTTTCCGCGGACTGGAGGGTGCATGGTTTTGTGTGCTGCTTGCATCTCATGGATGGGGCTTTGCTTGTTTGTGCGGCCCAGTTGCTGGCATGCCGCAGCCCAGTACCAGTCCATGGACCGGGGTTGGGGACCCCTGATCTAAAGGATGACACCAGGATGATCATGGCAGATCTGAAGGAGGTGATGCAAGACTGAGGAGCATGGAGAGTGCTGATCCATAGAGTGGCCGAATATTGGACAGGACTGAATGACTAACGATGACGATGCTGTGCCCTACCACTTGTGCTTGGAGGAATGGGTCGTGTCCTTCATGGAGAATATGATCCAAACTGCTAAGTAAACTGTGGAAGGGGGCTGAGTTTAAATCTGTCCCAATAAACTCCATTTTGCCATTGAGTTTCACCTTAAAATCTCTCTCAGGTTAATTTTTATCAAACTTCTGTAGTCTGCAAAGTGCTTTGAATATTACTGAAAAGAGTTCTCTTCCTTTTGCTGCTGTAAAATTAGTTCTTAATTTGCTGAGATTATTTCTTTTTTATTCAATTTATCTTTAGTCACGACAGACACCAGAAGGTGAATTCTTGCCACTAGACCAATGCGAGCTTGATGTTGGATTTGGAACTGGGGCCGACCAACTGTTCCTCGTTTCTCCTCTAACCATCTGTCATGAAATCAGTGATAAGAGTCCTTTTTTTGCCCTCTCACAAAGATCCCTAAGGAGCGAGCAGTTTGAAATTGTCGTAATCCTTGAAGGCATTGTTGAAACCACGGGTAAGTGATACAATCAGGTGCCTATCAGTGTAAACTTAATATTGGGGTATTATTTCCAAGCATATTGCATTTTCTATTTATGATACCTTGTAAGTAAATGCAAGGTTATTGTAGATATGGAAAGAGGGAGACAAATGTAATGCTATGTGAGAATGAGAGACAGCAGGAAGAATGCAAACTAGATAACTGTCATGCAAAAGGTATATTTTTAGGCTGCCACAGAAGTGTTTCAGAAGAGATTCCCCCTAGTTTTCTGGGAAGTAAAAGTAAAGGAGGAAAGAAATATTTTCAGACTTGCAAGTTTCTTTAAATGTAATCTTACAATAATGGTAGAGTTAGTATTCATAGTTGTGCTTCTTGTTTGGACTACCTCAAAGGGTAGTCCACTTTACAATCATTTGTGTGTTAGAGCAGAGGTGAAATAGGAACTAGATTCTTAGCATTTCTTAAACTCAAATCTGATGCACATCCCAAATAATTAATTTGTCAAGTGGGGAAATATATAAGAAACATTCTTATTTCTTTTTTATTCTTACTATTTATTATTACATAGCTCAGTGGCTAAGTGAACATATGGACATCTAGCCCAAGGCTATTCACATTATGGAAATCTGCAAATGCCAGGTCAGCCCTGATAGCAAATCATAGTTAAGAGTCTTGGGTAGACCTTAAAGTTTGATTAATTAAATAAATCACAGTTCAGTTTAGTGTAGAGAACTATTATGTGAATACAATTTATAAATTCTATCTACGAGCTAGTTAAGATTCTTCATTTGGATTCTAACATGCTTGGAAATCAGCCTTTGATCTTGGAAACTGTTTAGCATTATCTGTGACTATGATGATTTTTTCAGTATTGAAAAAGAAAACTATTGCCACCTGCCCCCAAACAGTATTTTTATATGGAAGCTTTCACAAGCTTTAAGACATGTCCTGTATTAGAAGTACATTCATCTTAGTATTGAATTCTGGCTCAAATTTATCTCTCTTCCTCCCCCTCCCCCATACAGCAAGATGGAATATTTTGCTGATGAATAATTTCTCAATTATAAGATAGGGAATTCTAAGAGAAGAGAATTTGTACCTCAAGATTAAACTGTGAGATGCTTGGTATTCTTTGAGCTTGGTGGCTTTCTTGCAGACATTTCATTACCAAACTAGGTAACATCATCAGTGATGATGTTGCCTTGTTTGGTAATGAAATGTCTGCATGAAAACCACGAAGCTCAGAGAGCACCAAGGACACCACAATTGTAAAGTAGCTGGACAAATGAATAAGAAAGAATTTAACGCCTTATTAAACCTTTAAACCAGCTACACTTGGAAGAAGCTGCTTCATTGTGCATAATACTTTGATCAGCCCTAAGTATTTTTGATGCCAGCTGCCTGCTGTCCGGTATTGAGTCCCCCCCCCCCCGTCTGTTCAGTCTTTAAAGATAAGTGGGATATGCAACCAATTCATTTGCAATGAGCGAGTGAAATACTTTAAAAGAGTCAAAAAGGTGATCATGTCTATGCAATGAACTCACCCCCTCTTTTAAATGCCTTATGACAGGGATCTTCAAAATTGGCCTTTAGGACTCGTGGACTTCAACTTCCAGAATTCCTCAGTCAGGCATGCTGAATGAGGAATTCTGGGAGTTGAAGTTCAAAAGTCATAAAAGGGCCAAGTTTGAAGATCCCTGCCTTATGACAAATGCAGGTCATGGATGCCCCTTCCCCACTTATCCTATACTCACCATTTAAGAATAGTGGAGAACCTCTGTTCTTTGTGCTGAGTTCCAAGACTCAAATAACAAATACAGTTGTTACAGAAAGTTAGTTATGTGATCTGTAGCAAGGCCATTCTGATTTAGTGGCACATATTTAATGAAGCAACATTAGAAGTATGGAGATGCTTTTTAAGTTCTGACATATTTACCATTGTTAAAATAGAGGGGACCTCTTGCCTTTGAAGGTAAGAAGAGGAAGAAACTCTCCTCCCACTGGGTTGTAAATTATTCCAGGGCTTAATCTGAGCCAGCTGTCTCCAGCTGCAGTACCTGCCTTCAAATTCTGCAAAATCTGTGCAGGAATTATACTCTTTGGAATGGCTCCTGTTAAAAGATAGAGTACCTCTAAAAGGGGGGAGGGTAGACACAGAAAAGTTCCTTTGCTGATTACTGTACATTCCCATTTTTTTTTTACTTATTACTCTCTTGGAAGCAAAACTGCTGGGAAAAGATTGCCTTTTCTATTATTGCATATTTTTGTCCTTGCTGGAGGACAAGATGGTCCCCTGTGAGAAATTGTTCCTGGCAGCTGATGATTCAATGAGAACCTTCATTAACCTGGTGCCCTCCAGATGGGTAGAAGGTCCATCACTCCTGTAATTCTTCTAAACCAGATATTTTAGCCAGCTGCCTAGAAAGTAAGCAACTGGAAAAAGATATTGAGACTCTAGAAAGAGATCGGACAACCATATGTCTGAAATGGTATAGGGTTTCCTGCTTGAGCAGAGCCCACATAGAGGGGATCAGGGTGGGGAAAGGCATTGGGAACTACTAGTGGTTCTTGATTAGCATGTTAGCATTTCCAGGATTTTATGCTGGGTTATTATCATCTTCCAATTGTAACCTCATGATTACAATCATTTTTTGTTTTCAGATGCTTTCTTAGTGAACTTTGTCCTTAATGATAAAGAAGGGCAAGATAGAATAGCTACTCAATACTTTTCAATTGAATCTTAACTTGGAAGATAAATAGGTCTTGGTTAGGTGTGGGTTGAACTTTGCTCTATGTACAGCTTGCTAATATACCATATTCTTCTTCAGGAGTAGTGAATCTATCAAGGAAATAGGGCAAATTCAAACAAAACCACAGTTTGCCCGACACAAGGCACACGCTTAATTCTCCCCCCTCAGTCTTCAGAAACACAATCATGATTGTGTGACTTAGAATTGGGCATAAAGTTTCATTCAGGAGTTCTTATAATTTATATATCATATTTTATTTATCATATTTTGAAACTGCCCATTTCCCTCAGTGACTCTGGGCAATAAAATTATTAATTTAAATATTGAATATAAAAGTATAATAAAATATAAATGTATTTCAGCTGTTCTGGGATTTTCAACAATTCTTTATTGCAGCCTTTAGGTCAAAAAGATTTCTGAGATGTTTTACACATTCCTAAAAAGAGAGAAGCCAAACACAGTAGATTTAACTTTGCCTAAAATGCTCTTTGCCCTAAATTCTGGGGAGGCAGATGTTGCCCTCCAGATGTTTTGTATCAATTCCCATCAGCCCCATTCAACATGCCCAGTAGCAAGGAATTCTAGGATTTGTCAGAAGGAAATGCAGAGCAAGAACAGGAAATTATGACTGCAGGTAGTTCACAACTTACAATCATTCATTCTGTTACCATTCAAAGTTACAACAGCATTTGAAAAAGTGACTTATGACCAGATTTCTCACTTTAGGACCGTTGCAGCATCTCCATGATGACATGATCAAAACTCGTCCGCTTGGCAAAGGATATGTATTTACGATGGTTGCAGCATCCTGGGGTCATGTGATCACCATTTGTAACTTTCCCAGTTAGCTTTTGACGAGCAAAGTCAATGGGGGAAACTGGATTCACTTAATGACCACATGATTCATTTAACAAGTGCAGCAATTAACAACTGGCAAAAAGGTAAAATGGGGCAAAATTCACTTAACAAATACCTTTCTTAGCAATGGAAATTTTGGGTTCAATTGTGGTCATAGGTCAGCGACTACCTATAGTTGAACATCATAAACTTTTGTGGCTCTTGAAATTGTTGTTCCAAAACTATGCTAATTCTCATAGGGCCAGGCCAAAAAAAAAAAAAAAGAACAAATCAGGGTGTACCACAAACAAAGGCCAGATATAAACAAGCCAACCCATTCAAAAGAGGAAGCTAAGTAGGCCATTGGCTAAGGTAGAATGAAAAACTAGTCAGAGGAACCTCCTTTTAGAAAAAGTAGATAATTTTTCAACATGGATAGTCCTTGACAAGATTGTTCACTTAGTAACTGTTTCAAGTTACAACACTCCCCCTCCAAAGGTACTTACAAATTAGTTCCAATGTTCAAATGGCTGGGTATTGCACACACACTACTCACAGTCACATGAACATCTTGGGTGCTTGGCAACCAGCCTGCATTTACAGCTATTTGTAGGTAGTCATTTTACCACAATGTATGATGTTTCTGCCAAAAAGCAGTATCTACTACTGCTTTTAGCAAAAATGTTTATAGTGAATAATAGGTTTGCTTAAGGACTGTGATATTCACTTAACGATCACCACAAAAAAGGTTATAAAATCAGGTCAGTTATGTGGGTGATTCGCTTTATCACTGTTATGATTTACAACCATAATTAGCAGGCTCCATTGCAGTCATAAGCTAAGGACCACCTGTAACTTTAGTTCTACAGTTCTTTTGGTATTGCCTTCCTACTTTCTTTAGTAAGTATTACTTATTCTCATGTTGGGAGGAATTCCCCCGTTTGGCTCTTCCAGCCGGGATTCTCCTTGACGGCGTAGCGCGGAAGAAATAGATTGTGAAGCCAGCTACTGGAAAGAGAGATTTAATCATGGAGATCAAGGTTGAGTGACAATGAATTCCCGGCTAGCTAGACAGAATGGTCTTCAAACATGAGTTTTTCCAAACTTGTCACTTTTGATTGGTGAGTTCAAATCTGTCTTCCCTGATTTGCTGGTCAGTGACTATTGTTGAGCAAATTTCCTTCCTAATCCTGCCTAAAAGGTGTTAATTACTTTATTGTCGTGTATTTGTTAATCCTAATTGCTGCTAGCCAGTTCTCCATTCAGTGTGTGTTAAGTATTTGCCATCCAGCCTCAGGCTGCTGCTGAACCAGGTTAGTTCCTATTGGTTTTTTTCCCTATGTTTGCCCGGTCATTCCCTCGTTGGGGTGGGGAGGGGGTGTCAAGCTCTTATCAATTCCCCCATTTTGGGCTATCACTGGTGTACCA